TGTTTTGGGTGTACTATTCCTTTAAGTAGAAATGTTGGTTATCTAAACTTCTGAAAGTTCTTTAAATCTGAAATGATTCCATCCTGTTCAATAAATGATCAGTGTTTTTAATTCAGAGTAATTTTCATGTGAATGTGCTTTACTGGAGGCATCCATGTTTGTCAAAGAACACTACTGCCACCTACTGGTTAGTGACGTCACGGTGCGGTATCGGCTGTTGATCAAGTCCCAGTGCTGTATCTGGTGTTTGTCACAACGCGCTATTATCCAAGTCATCTTGAAAACATTCTTCTTCCAAATGTTGGCTACATATTACGGGTTTTTTCTCTGGCCAGAAGTTCGATGGCAAATCCTCCCTCTTCAAGTTGGCGATCCAACGACCAACCCGTCCGTGGAGGATCAGGAATCAGAAAGGTGGAATAACTCTTTTTTTCACTTTTACCCGATGTATTCCAGCATCCAGCTGCCATGCACGTGGGCATTGTCAGTTTCACTATAGCTCTGGTGAATTTCAATGGTGAAGTCCTCTGGAAATCTTCAATAATTGTTGTTGATTGCAGATGTGTCTAGTAGTTCCCATTGATTTAGCTTGGAAAGCAGGGAGAATGGCGCTAGGCTTACCGCACCGTGACGTCACTGCTGGAAGATGGCAGGAGGGAGGGGCTACTAGATTTGAGCTAAAATGGCCGCTCCCAGACTCAGTGATCGCAACGAAAATGATTTTTATTGTTTTACGGATTAACACTAAATTAATTAAATCACAGACAACATTTTAGTTTTAGGTATAGGTAATGATCCCTTTATTATTCTTGGCTAACCAGACTTTTCATTTCAAATCTGCACCGATTTGCTTTCCTGTGGGATTTGCACCTTTAGCTGAAGCGTTATTGTCTATATGGAGTCCATACATGCCTTTGTGGATCAACTTAATTCTTAATACCGTGGAATTATATTTCTGTGAATCTATAAATGTTCAATATTTGGAATCTTCCAATGTTCTGAAGATCAAACATATGTCTCCTGGCCTTCTGACCCTGCTCATAAATCAAGTAATCCTTCGTTTATTGCTAACCCTAGAATAAGCCGAAACTGCATATAGGAAGGCAATGCATTAATCTGAGTGAGGGAGTCGGGAGTCCTGCGTGGATTACGGCCGAGGGAAACCGTTGTGAGACAGATCGGATGTCAGCTGTGGCAGCAGAAGAAATGGATGACGGTTTTGCAGGGTTAGCAGATTAGAGCTGTTTTCAATCACAGGGAGACCAAAGAGACAACAGAGGATAAAGATGACAGCGGACCAGTGCAGCCAGGAAGCACAATGTGCTGAGCTGGTTTCCAAGAAAAGATGAACATAATTAATCCCCAACTCAAACTGGGCGGAGGCTGCAGTGAATGAAGGGGTGTTAAAGATGTTAAAGGTTCTGATAGACTGAGGATGAGATTAGTTCTGGATTTTAATGTTGGTTCTATTGTTGTTTATATTATTTATGTTTAATTGCTTGTTTTACTTAGTTGTTTAAATGGCTTCCAGCTTTGGAAGAAAATTATTTGGAAAACAAATTTAAATCTCGACAGGACTTTGACCACAAGGACAAATTAAGGAGATTTCAGGTGTCATTTTTTCTACTTGCTATTTTTAGCTCCCCTTCAATTCTATTCAGTTTATTTCTATAGCTCCAATTCACATCACGTCATCTCAGGTCACTTTCCAGTTCACCAGATCATCCAGTCAGATTGATTCAAAGTTTTCTATCTAAGGAAAACCAGCTGATTGCATCGACTCATTGACTCTTCAGCAATCCCTCACACTAAGCATGCTTGTAGCGACAGTGGAGAGGAAAAACTCCCTTTGAACAGGAAGAAACCTCCAGCAGAACCAGGCTCAGTGTGAGCGGCCATCTGCTGAGGCCCACTGGGGTTCAAGGAGACAGAAGCAGACATAGAAAAAGAAGCATAGATACAAAAGGCAACTGTCAACCAGCTCCACAGGCGGCCCCGTCCAGGAAACACACAGCCAGGCAGACGAGCTCCGAGCCAGCTCCCATGTCAGAGGATGAAGAGAGCACATCCAGTTAGTCACAGTCAGAGAAACAGGACTACACTGGAAAACAGGCCAAGCTCCAACATCTAGAAACAAAGGTGTTGATGGCAGCAGCACAGCTGATATTTCTCTCCAGGATGGAGTCACAGCCAAACAGGAACAGACCAGATGAAGCTACTATGAGAAAAAGCGGAGAGAGCAGAACGTTAGAGATTGAACTAACAGATTCTGCAGAGTGGGAGAATAGAGAGAGAATGAAGCAGAACGATGAAAAAGGGGTCCCTATGTCCTCCAGCAGTATAAGCCTATAGCAGCAGAACTACAGAGATAGCTCAGGATAACCTGAGTATTTTGGATTAGGTATTACAAAGGTAGAGCCAAAGATAAACATCTATTGGACTGAAATTCTCCTCCGCCGGATCGGCCTGTTAACGCTTTACCTCCACCTATCTCTGCTTACCAGGCGACTAAGCGCACATCACTCTGTTTTTAACTACAAGCTTTATTAAAAATTCCCCGTTAGGGGTCACTTCAATGACTGTTAGAGCTACCAGGCAACAAAAATTTAGATTTTTCTCTCCTTTCTCCTAGTGTGTCTCCCACTGCTGTAAGACTTGCAGTTTTCTGTCAGATCCCGTCTCATTTCTTCCTCTTGTAATGAGGAATCTCAGTAATAAAGCTCCTTGGTTTTTGTTGTTCCTAGCTGGATTCTTCTGTCAACTTAACACCTTAGTCTCTTTTTGACTATTTCAGCTAATGTAACGAGTAAATTTCTCCACGGTGAGATCAATAAAGTCAATCAATCAAACATATCCTGAGACTTTTGTATTTTATTGAAATCTTTCATTTCACCATTCTGCCCCTGGTCTTCTTTCATTTGGTTTCAGCAAAAAAATTAAATAAGCCAGAGAGGATACATCCCTTTGCAGTCCAGCAGTGGGGAAATTTGTCCTCTGCGTTTCGCCCCTCCCTCAGGCAGCAGCGGGCTGAAACAGTGAGCAGTGCACATTCTGGGGTCATGGGCCCAAAGAGACTGTTTCACATCAGTCTCCAGGACATAGATGTCCTGCTTTCTAACCACTGAACCACCATGAGACTTTGAGACACACCCAAACTCTCATTCACTACGGTGATACGTTATCTCTATGCTTTTCCACTAAGCTGCATTGAAGGTGTGCTGCATGGCATAAAGCGAGAGCTGACACATCTGGAGGCAACTGGTCTGAGATACAGCTGTTTGATGTTTCATAGCTGCATATCTTTCCCACTTTTCCCTCTTTTATATGAGAACTATCAATAAAGACATAGTGTCATAGTGTCTGAAGGCTCTACACAACCTTTCAGATCTGTGCCATTAAACACTTTAGAACTACCAGTTTTAGTCGGTGAGGCAGACACCCTGTCTACTTTTAAGGCTATGGCTTAAAACTTTCCTTTTTGATAAAGCTTCTAGTTAGAGTGGCTCAGGTTATCCTGAGCTATCTCTATAGTTCTGCTGCTATAGGCTTAGACTGCTGGAGGACATAGGGACCCCTTTTTCATCATTCTGCTTCATTCTATCTCTATTCTCCCACTCTGCAGAATCTGTTAGTTCAATCTCTAACGTTCTGCTCTCTCTGCTTTTTCTCATAATACTGCTTATACTTCAGCGATAGTATCAAGGTGTTACTTTATTGTATCTCTTATACTATGTCCGTTGGTTGTGCTGTTCTTTCTGCATCTCTTTGCAGGTGATGAAGCAGACTGAAGACGTTTTACCGTTATCTCCCTTTAATCTCCTCTTTCTTTCATCTTTTTAAATTTTTTTCTGTTTTTCCTTTTCTGTTCTACTTACATTGCAGCGTCCATATAATCTGTAAAACCGCACCGTGACGTCACTGCTGGAAGATGGCAGGAGGGAGGGGTTACTATATTTGGGCAAAGATGGCCGCTCCCAGACTCAGTGATCACGACGAAAATGATTGTTTTCATGCTTTTACTGAAAAAAGCAAAATTCATTAAATCTCCACAAACGTATTAGTTTTAGGTATAAATAACGATCCATTGATTATTCCTGGCTGACCGGACTTTTCCTTTAAAGCTAAAGTGTGTTACTTTTAGCCACTAGGGGCGCTAGACCTATAACTTCCTCTTAAACCCTGATATCCGACCAGTTTGGACCTGCAGATTCAGACGTTTTGAAGTTCCTTATAAATTGAAGGCTAAGATCTTCTCTCTTTGCAGGTGATGAATCAAACTGAAGATGTTTTAGCTTTGTTTCCCTTTTATCTCCTCTTTCTTTCATCTTGTTTCCTTTGTCTTGTTTTTCCTTTCCTGTTCTATTTACATTGCTTTGTCCATTTAATCTGTAAAACTCCCTGCATTAATTATTATAAAGCTATTTAATGCATAAATCAAGAGGAACACTATGGCGATAGCCGTACTGTTCCACTTGTGAAAGTAAAATCTGTTGGCCGCTTTTTGGCATCAAGACAATTATTGTTATTGCCTCATTGCCAGACAGGACACTGTTAAACAAAAAAAAAGAAGTGGAAAAATCTGCACAGATCTGCTCACCCTGCCTAGTCAGAGCCTCTCTATATGCAGTTAGTGTCACATGGAAAACAATCGGATCGGAGGTTAAAAAGTTGAGGCCTATACTCCAAACCAACAGTGGTGGCCTAGTGGTTAGGGCATAGAGCTTGGAATCCAGAGGTTGTGAGTTTGAGCCCCACTCTCACAGACTGTCGCTCTGGGTGCCTGAGCAAAGACTCTTAACCGCATCCAACTCTTTCAAAATGTGTTGCTATGCTGTTGCATCTTTCTGTTTTGTTTTTAAAACCCTCGGTGCAGGGAGCCATCGCTAATAACCCCCCCCTTTAGACAGAAACCATGAAGAACATTATCTGCCTAATAAGAAAACACTGTCGGACGCTTCATTTAACATTCAATAATCTCATTGTCTGTTTGTTCCAAACAGACCATCAACCCTCATCCAGAGCTGATCTCATTTTATGGAAATGAGGAAGAGGAGAGGAATGGGGGACAAACCAGCACCAGAAGGAGCGAGGTTCACTTTCCAGGATCCACTCAGGCGGGTAAATGTCCCCTTAACTTTTTAATGATTTAAACCGTTGCTCCTTCCAGGACAGGAGGAGAGAACAACAACCAACAGCAGAGAGTTTTGGAAAACAAGAATCAGGATCAGAAGTTTGGAGCGACATTAATCGGTCCTAAATATAAAAACGGTATAAATGTTTGACTAAATATTTCTTATCAGCTCTTGCCTCCATCTATCAGCCTTTTGGCCTCATTCTCACTAATGTTTCACCACCTTTCATGCAACATGTGACCAATTAAACCTGCTTCTTTTAAACAAACATAACTGACCATTTATGACAGTTGATTATAGGTTTAACCTGCGGAAACGTCGCTGACGTGACGTTATTCACTGCTCTAATGAATCTAATGAATCCATAACCAGTTCTGATGTTTAAGATCACTTTCCCAACCATGGATGCAGATATTCATCCAGTTGATCTATTTTTTGCAACAAGCCAAAAATAAGCATCTTAGAGAATGTAACTGCATTGGTTTGGATAATTGCTCATAATAAAAACCTCCCTTTCACGCCATGAGACCTACTTTTTTCCATTTGATCATAAATCCTTTTCTCTGTTTTGTAGATTTCAGTGAAGCATGAAGAAGTCAGTTTTCCAACCCCTCGTAATAAATGACTAAAAGCTTCTTTAGATTAGTGGTTATAATCATCCGACTTTGGATTTATCAGCAGTTTATTCTATTTTCTGTCAAATACTGAGGTACTTGGTGCGTACTGAACCTCCAGAGCAGCAGGTCTGGGCAACGGTCACTCTTTAACGTTTCAGGGCTGAAAGTTCTGCTGATGTTAAGATCTGAGGGTCTTAGGAGCAAATTCCACCTGAAATTACATGTTTGAATTAAAGCAAGTTCAGCTCCCAAAATCTAAATACAATTGTTTGTGTTTCTATGATAGAAAGGCAGACAGAAAGAAATATTTTTTAGGTGGAAGCACTATTTTAAATGTCACCATGTCTGATTTATAGGTATGAAGACTTTTAGGGCCAGGCTAGAGAATTTTTTAATTTTATTTTTGTTTTGAGAATAAAGTCGTAAAATTACGAGAATTAAGTCATCAAACAACAACCCGTTTCAGAAAGAAAGCTTGGAGCTCCGCCCAGCAGATGACGGCCGACCAGCTCCACCAATCAGCAACCAGAGTCCACTTTGACATCCTGCCCAGTTTGATGCTGCTGCTAAAAGATTTCCTGATTAGTCAAACCGATGCTAAAGTAGAACTTCCCATGATGCTCCACATTCCTCATTTTAGGGAAGAAATGGATTCCTGGAAGAGTTGTTATAAAATACGACTTTATTTTCTTTATTTTAGGACTTTATTCTCTTAATATTACGACTTTTTTCTCTTAATGTTACGACTTTTTTCTCGTAATTTTACGACTTTTTGCTCGTAATGTTACGACTTCATTCTGGTAATTTATGACCTTATTCTCTTTAAATGACATCTTTATTCTCTTAATTTTATGACTATTCTGATTGTGACTTTATCCTTATAATATTACGACTTTATTCTTGTAATTTTCCACTTTATTCTCATAATTTTATGACTATTCTCGTTGTGACTTTATTTTTGTAATATTAAGACTTTATTCTCCTAATAGAAAAAGAAAATGTCTAGCCTGGCGCTAACACTACATCGTATTATAGGTGATTAAACAAAGAAAAAAATGAAAAATATTTAGCCTCGCTAAACGTTTTCCAAAATAAACACTTCAAAACAACATGAAAGCCCATTTGAAACTCTGGATGAACCCTCAGACTTAATAGATCCACATCTTGACTATAACTGAAGCACATTTGAACTGAATAAGTTGAAGCATGTTTGTTCCACAAAGGTTTTAGTGGGCAGTGTGAAAGGAGGAAATGTGATTATGGCACAATGCCAAAAGAGCAAATATGCATTTTTTCACTTCATAAAAGGGAATCTGGTCGGACAAATATGCTGATTTCCATTATTGCAGACCTTCTGCATAAGACAACACCTTTTTTCCTAACATGTAGCCATTGTTTCATTGAAATTTACCAATTTACCAGTAAGAATAACAGAGCAAGCTTATATAAAGCATGCCGGTTACATCACCTGAAATGTTCGCACAATTAAAGGAATAGTACACCCAAAACATGATTAGCCTTCATTTTCTACTCCCCCCCATGCTGAACAACACTTTGGAGTACTTTTTTGATATCTCAAATGCATCTGGAGATCTGGGAGGCTTCTTGCTGTCTGCTGACATTCAAATAATGGAGGTCTATGGCGCCCGAGGCAGAAAGGTCCATAAAAGTCCACAAAAAACGTGTCAATATTCCTCCATACTGCTCGTCCAATGTATTCCAAGTGTCCTGAGTGGGTAGCGTCCAGAATTTACTCGAAACGAAGTCATTTAGAATGTTTTTAGAGCATAAACAGTAGTGTATAGGATTTCCTAAAAGCGCGTTCACGAGTCTACGGAAACCGCGGCAGACCAAACCAGATGAAAGTGCGCATTCAGCGTCTGCTCTGCCGATAATGCAAGCGTAGAAGAAGAAATGTGCCGTTTACCTGTGCAAAGAAAGAAACAACGAAAGAAAAATGTCTGAGGACTTCAGTGTTGAGGAAGAGCATGAGTTCTTTGCCGAGCTGAATGCGCTGGTTTGGTCTGCCGGCTTCCGTAGCGTCGTGAACGCGCTTTCAGGAAATACTATACACTACTGTTTATGCTCTAAAAACATTCTAAATGACTTCGTTTCGAGTAAATTCTGGATGCTACCCACTCAGGACACTTGGAATACATTGGACGAGCAGTATGGAGGAATATTGACACGTTTTTTGTGGACTTTTATGGACCTTTCTGCCTCGGGCGCCATAGACCTCCATTATTTGAATGTCAGCAGACAGCAAGAAGCCTCCCAGATCTCCAGATGCATTTGAGATATCAAAAAAGTACTCCAGAGTGTTGTTCAGCATGGGGGGGAGTAGAAAATGAAGGCTAATCATGTTTTGGGTGTACTATTCCTTTAACTCCAACCCTTCCTTGGAAAGCCTCTAGCACTGATGTTGCCATTAGGAGGCGGGGTTAGAAATGAACACCTGCTGTTGCATTGCTCCCGTAGAGTCATGTCAGGTGGAGTTTTAAATCTTTTTTATTTTATTTTATAAGTTTACACAGCTATAAAACAACCCCTATAAAATAAGTATTTGTTAAATCAAAATCAGAATCAGACATACACGGAAGAGGATTAGGGCCACTGGGAAAAAAAAAAAAGTTAACTGGTTTTTAAATTTTATTTCAGTTTAGTATGGAAAAAAGTCAGAATTCTGACTTTTTTCCATACTAAACTGAAATAAAATTTAAAAACCAGTTAACTTTTTTTTTTTTTCTAGTGGCCCTAATCCTCTTCCATAGACATACTTTAATAATCCCAGAGGGAAATACATTTTTTTACATGCTCCAGATATACAAACATTTCTATATATATACAACAAACCACACAACATAATATAAAATACACATACACTATATTGCCAAAAGTATTTGCTCACCTGCCTTGACTCACATATGAGCTTAAGTGACATCCCGTTCCTAATCCATAGGGTTCAATATGACGTCGGTCCACCCTTTGCAGCTAGAACAGCTTCAACTCTTCTGGGAAGGCTGTCCACAAGGTTTAGGAGTGTGTTTATGGGAATTTTTGACCATTCTTCCAGAAGCGCATTTGTGAGGTCGCACACTGATGTTGGACGAGAAGGCCTGGCTCTCAGTCTCCGCTCTAATTCATCCCAAAGGTGTTCTATCGGGTTGAGGTCAGGACTCTGTGCAGGCCAGTCAAGTTCATCCACACCAGACTCTGTCATCCATGTCTTTATGGACCTTGCTTTGTGCACTGGTGCACAGTCATGTTGGAAGAGGAAGGGGCCAGCTCCAAACTGTTCCCACAAAGTTGGGAGCATGGAATTGTCCAAAATGTCTTGGTATGCTGAAGCATTCAGAGTTCCTTTCACTGGAACTAAGGGGCCAAGCCCAGCTCCTGAAAAACAACCTCACACCATAATCCCCCCTCCACCAAACTTTACACTTGGCACAATGCAGTCAGACAAGTACCGTTCTCCTGGCAACCGCCAAACCCAGACCCGTCCATCAGATTGCCAGATGGAGAAGCGCGATTCGTCACTCCAGAGAACGCGTCTCCACTGCTCTAGAGTCCAGTGGCGGCGTGCTTTACACCACCGCATCCGACGCTTTGCATTGCACTTGGTGATGTATGGCTTGGATGCAGCTGCTCGACCATGGAAACCCATTCCATGAAGCTCTCTGCGCACTGTTCTTGAGCTAATCTGAAGGCCACATGAAGTTTGGAGGTCTGTAGTGATTGACTCTGCAGAAAGTTGGCGACCTCTTCGCACTATGCGCGTCAGCATCCGCTGACCCCGCTCCGTCAGTTTACGTGGCCTACCACTTCGTGGCTGAGTTGCTGTCGTTCCCAAACACTTCCATTTTCTTATAATACAGCTGACAGTTGACTGTGGAATATTTAGGAGCGAGGAAATTTCACGACTGGATTTGTTGCACAGGTGGCATCCTATCACAGTTCCACGCTGGAATTCACTGAGCTCCTGAGAGCGACCCATTCTTTCACAAATGTTTGTAAAAACAGTCTGCATGCCTAGGTGCTTGAATTTATACACCTGTGGCCATGGAAGTGATTGGAACACCTGATTCCAATAATTTGGATGGGTGAGCAAATACTTTTGGCAATATAGTGTATAACTCTCTCTCTCTGTCTCTCTCTCCATATATATATATATATATATATATATATATATATATATATATATATATATATATATATATGTATATGTATAACTATAAATCCAAATAAAGTGATAAAATATTATTTTGAAACATGTTTTATAAATTTTAAAGCGTCATTTGAAAGGAGTGTGGATGAAAAACCATGTGACTGTGTTTTGTCCATTTCTATAAATAGATAAACATGAGCAGGTGTCAGTCGGGCCCTGTACGGGGCCCGCTGGGCTAAAAGGGTTAGAGAATAGGATGAGTGACCCCAGTGAAAAAGGCAGCATATTTCCAACAAATCCCCACCATGCTGATTGCTGAACCATGACAATGAGGATTTCTGCTCAAGTCAGACTTACCCCAAAAAGCCTAGAACTGGAACGGATCAGAGCCTGAATCTCCATAATACGGCCAAACTCACTGCTCACTAATTCACTGCTTTATAGAGCAATGGGCTGCCTTCGCTGTGCTGCCTTCACTGTGCTGTCTTCACTGTGCTGCCTTCACTGTGCTGCTTCACTGTGCTGCTTTCACTGTGCTGCCTTCACTGTCGGGCAGGTTGAGCGTGGACACATGATTTAGAGTGATTTACTTTTTTCTATGAAGCAAACGATGTCTTATTTTCATGAAACACCAGGAGTTGTTAATCCAGGAGGAGTTCAAGTCCCTTTCTGTCCAGGCAGCAGACGGACTAATTAAGGAAGGATTCATGAGGAAAGGAAGCCGAGAGAAAAGAAAAAGGTCAGACTAGAGGGGATGCCTTAAAGAAAACAGAAAAGCCTGTGAGATTGAATCAAACTGACAGACAAGTAGACAGGAAAATAAAAGATGAATGAGTTGAAGAAGAAGGTGGCGGCAGGAGGCCAAGGAGCTCATTAGTGAAGTTTGTTTGGTTATTGTAGCGTAACAATGATCTGCTTCTCTCATTTCACCTGTTTTATCGGACGGAACGGTGACTCTTTTCACACTTGTAGTCTTCTTCTCTGTCTCCTATCTTTAACACTCTGTTTGATGATCAAGTGACGGATTAGGAAAGAATCTGATTAATGTACGTCTCTATTGCTTCACTGGACGCAAACAATCATAAACTGTTGAGCCAAAGTTCCTCCCTTTGCTGACCGTTAGCATCATCTCTCTGTAAACGTCGGGATTTTCTCTTTATCTGGAGAACAATAACAAAAAAGTGGGGAAATTCGTTCTCTTGATTTTAACCCATCTCCTTGTAGAGCAGTGGGCTTCCATTTACCCCATTTACCCTACCGTTGAAAAACCGGTCCGAGACCGGTCCGAGCTCAGTAACTGAGATAACTTATGGTGTGTAAATGGAAAGCAAACTGAACTGAACCGAGCTAGACACAACCGGACCGAGCTAGACCCAACCGGACCGAGCTAGACCCAACCGGACCGAGCTAGACCCAACCGGACTGAGCTAACTGCAGACCAGTTCCAGAGGTGGGCTCGGTTCTCTGATAACAAGAGCGCCTGAGCAGAACGCGTCATCTCCGTCTGGCTGCACATCGCGATTCACACTCCATTCCAGTAGGTGGCGGTAATGCCCCTCCGGTAGTTGCTTCCAACGAACACAAAACAGAAGAAGAAGAAGAACAACTATAAACATCCACAAAAAGTTGCCGTCTTCCCCTGACCCTCCGCAAACACCGAAGTTCAGCAATAATAATCAAGCATAACTTTCTGAATATGACGGGCGCCGCCATTTTGTTTTGCTTGATTCCCTCCTTCTACGTCTTCTTCTTCTTGTGTTTTATGGCGGTTGGCAAACAACTTTTGGTGCATTACCGCCACCAACTGCTTGATTTCCTCCTTCAATACTGGCAGTAATACCGCAGATCGTCACTAGGAGGCGAGGAACCGAGATAGCGTGATGTGTAAACGTTCGTCAGAACTGAGCTCGGCCTGGTTAACTGATCCGAGCTCGGACCGGTCTCGGCATGGATCGGTTTTTCAATGGTAGTGTAAATGGGGTAATAGTGTGGCACCCGAGGAGCCAAATGGGGTTAAATTCGTAGGGAAGCGGCTGTTCCAACTGTTGCATTTCCGAATTCTCCCGAGTGGTGCACGACTTTACACGAGTGAATAAAGTGAATGTGATTGGTCATTTATCAAGGGGGCGGGATTGTTGTGGCGGGAGGTTCGCAAGCAAGTTTGATTGTGGCTGGTTATTCGGAAGCATCATGCTAACCAGTTAGCATCTTAGTGCTAGCAGGTTCCCAATGGGAAATTCCATTGGGACCAAGTAGCACTAAATTGGTGACTTAGAAACGACGCTGTCAAGGAACGCTATGGACAGCGGAAACATGCAAGAGGAGGAGAGTTTAGTGTCGGAGGTCGTGGATGAGTCTCCTCCGTCATCCATTTTTTATTTAGAGGAGGAAAGCGGGGACGAAGATGTTGTGGAAGAGGACGCCAGGGCGGCAGAAGCTTGGTTTGGTGTAGAAGGCTTCCAGCCGTACATGTTTGAGCCCTTGCCTCGCAACGCTGCCAGTTCTGTTAGCTCTACGCCTGCCGAAGACACAGACGTCCATCCCCGTGAACACTGGGACGCAACTCAATGGGAAAGGAAAGGATTCTGGTTTCAACCGTTGCGTATATTAGCTGCAACGTATGAATCAAGATGCTATGACCGGAAACATTTGATTGACAGATGACCGTTGATATATGATTGGCCGAATTTAGGTGTTCAGGCTGACGTAGAACTAACTGGCCTGCATAAAATAAGGGGGAAAAAAACAACACAGATTTAAAAATAGAAATTTTCTAACTTTTGGGACAATATCTGGTAATGAGAATCACACCTGTGATTCGACATTTAAATATGACTTCCCTACAACTTGGGACCCATAGTGCAGGCTGTGGGGATCGAACCGGGTACTGGCAACCTTCTCAGAGCACAACAGCACTGCTCTAACCCCAAGGCAACACTCCCCTAAATAACCAGACAGTCTGTCATCTCCTTTGGGTTTTCTTTGATTTCACTTTATTAAAGATCAAAATGGAGATCATGAGACCCTCAACTCAGCACTGAGTTGTTCCATTAGCTCAGGCATCCTCAAAGTTGTTTTTGGAGAACCGGAGTCCTGCAGGTTTTAGAGGTTTCTCTGCTTTAGCACAGCTGATTACGATGATGGTAGTTCAGCAAAAGCCTGTTAATCAACTATCAATGTAAATGAGCTGTGCTGGAGCAGGAAACCTCTAAAACCTGCAGGACAGCGGCCCTCGAGGGCCGACTTTTGACTGATAAATTTCCCCCTTTTTAAATCAAAGAGTGAATAACTATAGATGCTGAAATGCCCCATTGATATAACGGAAAATGAGTCATTAATAAATGTTGGACATTCTCCTGCAGACAGTGAACTAATCACAGGGATTGGAATATCCCACTTTTACCACAGACAGTAAAGTAGCACAGAACCTAAACGCCTCTACTGTTATTACAGTTATTCACCAGTTATTACCAACTGATTCTGTTTGAAACTTTGTTGGCTTTTTCTTTTAATTTTGGTGTTCTGTGCTGTAATTTGAGGCCATACTTATAAAAAGAAATCAATGCACTGACATTCATAGAGCAAAGCTGACGTAAATTCTAACGTCTCACTGTGAGCATTAAACACAGATATCCAAGTTTCCTGCTTTGTTTTCAGACAGTGAACTAAACACAGTTTTTTTTTTTAATAAACATCTTTTGTTAAATGCTGTGTTGCTTGTTTGAGGCAGCCTGGTCTTTGTGGTGGATAGGGTGCAGGGGGCTTTCCAGACCCCCTCCCAGCCTCCTACAAACAACAATGGTGCTCCAGGAGTGCAGCTGAATAGCAGCTGGGAAGTACGCTGACAGTCGATGAGCCGCTCTGGATTATTGTCAAAGCCAATGACCTGTTTGCTTAACCCCCTCACCAGACTCCTGGGGAGAGATGAAGGTAGCTGACTGACAGATCCTCCCGCTGATTCTTCTGCTCCTTCAGTCCTGCAGAGCCCCTCCTCGTCCTCATTTTCCACATTGTGTCATTAATTCAATTACCTCACATGTCATTAAGCACATCAGGAAATCAGGCTGGTAGTTTTACCTCCTCAGATATCTGAACTTAGCACGGCTGTCTCAAACACCACCAAATATGCTTCACTTGAGTGTTAAAAAGGGATATATATATGAATGATTTGTTCATGTTAAATTATTCTAAACAGAAATATTAGACCTACATCCTAATGAATGATTACTGCTGAAATAAAGTCACTTTCATTCAAGCCAAACAGCCTGGAACTCCGATACATTAAGGGATTAAAAAACATCAAGAAAGTAAAAAAAATCACTGTCCAATTTTCAATTCAGACAGTGAACTACTACTACTAAAAACGTCGGAGCATCTGACACCTGTGCTTAGTTCACTGTCTGTAGTAACAGTGGGGCATTCTGACACCTGTATTTAGTTCACTGTCTGTAGTAACAGTGGGACATTCTGACACCTGTGTTTAGTTCACTGTCTGTAGTAACAGTGGGGCATTCTGACACCTGTATTTAGTTCACTGTCCGTAGTAACAGTGGGACATTCTGACACCTGTGGTTAGTTCACTGTCTGTAGTAACAGTGGGGCATTCTGACACCTGTGCTTAGTTCACTGTCTGTAGTAACAGTGGGGCATTCTGACACCTGTATTTAGTTCACTGTCTGTAGTAACAGTGGGACATTCTGACACCTGTGTTTAGTTCACTGTCTGTAGTAACAGTGGGGCATTCTGACACCTGTATTTAGTTCACTGTCCGTAGTAACAGTGGGACATTCTGACACCTGTGGTTAGTTCACTGTCTGTAGTAACAGTGGGGCATTCTGACACCTGTGCTTAGTTCACTGTCTGTAGTAACAGTGGGACATTCTGACACCTGTATTTAGTTCACTGTCTGTAGTAACAGTGGGGCATTCTGACACCTGTGCTTAGTTCACTGTCTGTAGTAACAGTGGGACATTCTGACACCTGTGCTTAGTTCACTGTCTGTAGTAACAGTGGGACATTCTCACACCTGTGCTTAGTTCACTGTCTGTAGTAACAGTGGGGCATTCTGACACCTGTGCTTAGTTCACTGTCTGTAGTAACAGTGGGACATTCTGACACCTGTATTTAGTTCACTGTCTGTAGTAACAGTGGGGCATTCTGACACCTGTGCTTAGTTCACTGTCTGTAGTAACAGTGGGACATTCTGACACCTGTGTCTAGTTCACTGTCTGTAGTAACAGTGGGGCATTCTGACACCTGTGCTTAGTTCACTGTCTGTAGTAACAGTGGGACATTCTGACACCTGTGCTTAGTTCACTGTCTGTAGTAACAGTGGGACATTCTCACACCTGTGCTTAGTTCACTGTCTGTAGTAACAGTAGGACATTCTGACACCTGTGCTTAGTTCACTGTCTGTAGTAACAGTGGGGCATTCTGACACCTGTGCTTAGTTCACTGTCTGTAGTAACAGTGGGACATTCTGACACCTGTGCTTAGTTCACTGTCTGTAGTAACAGTGGGACATTCTCACACCTGTGCTTAGTTCACTGTCTGTAGTAACAGTGGGACATTCTCACACCTGTGCTTAGTTCACTGTCTGTAGTAACAGTAGGACATTCTGACACCTGTGCTTAGTTCACTGTCTGTAGTAACAGTGGGGCATTCTGACACCTGTGCTTAGTTCACTGTCTGTAGTAACAGTGGGACATTCTGACACCTGTGCTTAGTTCACTGTCTGTA